TGCCATTGATCATATCATGGAATAATGGAATGGTTTGGGTTGGGAGGGATCTTAAAGCTCATCTTGTTCCAACCTCCTGCCACAGCCAGGGACACCTTCCACAGACCAGGCTGCTCCAAATCCCTGCCAACCTGGCCTTGGACACTTGCAGGAGTAAGGCAGCCACAGCTCCTCTGGGCAACCTATGCCTCACCACCCTCACAGAGAAGAATTTCCTCCCAAGATCTAGTTCAAATCCACCATCTTCCTTGTCCTGTCACTCCAGGCCCTTCTCCAAAGTCTCTCTCCTGCTGTCTTGGAGCACCTTTAGACACTGGAAGGTGCTGTATGTGCATAAACACTGCCAGAAACAGAAATGGCTGCAATGGGTAAATGACAAAACATCAATAGCTTTGCCTTCTGCTGTAATAGAAGTGATGAAATCCTTCTCTTACTTCTGTAGACTGTGGAGAAAAACACTGCAAAAGTCACTCATGATTCTCATTTATTTATCATAGTCCCTTGGAAAGACTGAATTCCTGTTTCCAAGACACATTCAAGACGTGATCCCACTTCCTTATGTAACTAATAAGTGAAAACTCTCCTCAAACAGCAGCAGCCTGAGTCCAGGTGATCTTTTTCTCCCTTGAGATTAAACATCCTCCATGTGATTTGCCTACAAATCCTGCCTGTAGTTCCTGAGGCAGAACAACCTGACCACACAAAGGTGTCTTAGACAATGGACAGAAAGTTCTGCTGTAGTAATGCCAGGTTTCTGAGTAATGACTTTTTATATTACAGAGGTGCATTTAGAGCAGTTCAAGAGCACTTGTACAGGGACAAGAGTCTCTGGAATGAAGCTTTCCTTATATTGAAAATTATTATCATCAATTCCTGACCTACAGCAAATTTCTGTCCAGCAAAGGAAGTAAATTTTTGATCTTTTTTTCCTCCATTGTTTTTGTTTCTCCTCCCTTCCCCAAAGCCTCACAAACCATCAGAGTGCAACGCCAAAGACCCACCTCAGAATTTCTCACCTTTTTTGCGTTCCTGGGAATTTCAGTGCCTGTGCCCAGCAATGTTGTCCCCTGGATGGTGTGACACGGGGTGCAGCTCGAGTCCTTGTGTCATCCTGCAGTGCTGGGCTGGGCAGCCACTGTTTAAAAAGCCATGGTATTTTCAGCGTGACCCTCCAGGCAGCCAATCACTCATGGGGGAAATCCCTCCCCTGTACGGGTATGATCACTCAAATTTGAGCCACTTCCCCCTCCCCTCTTTGCAGTGTCACGGAAACATTATTTTTTTACTACTTCTCCCTTCTTCAGCCATTCTTGCAAGAATGCAAGAACTGTCTACAGACTTTGCACTGGTGTTGTGTCCTACTTGAGGCCCTGAGATGCTCTGGTTTCACAGCCCCTGAAGATGAGATTTTAGTGCTGCTCAGGTAGAGAAATTTTAAGTTCTCTCCCATAACATCTTTGCTGGAGGTTTCACAACCTCCTTCAGCACTTCTCATTCCCTCCTATCCCTGTCCGGTTGTCACATACCCACCACCACAGTGGGTCCTCTCCCAGCACAGTTCAGCACCTTATGGGATCTCTACTGCTTCATCTAACCTTGCACCCAAGCTTTCCACCTCAGCAGTTCCAGACGCCCAAACCCTGCTTGTGCTGCCCTCAGCAGGGAGCTCTGGCGTCAGGAGCTCTTTCAGTGCACCTTCACACCCCACAGGCTTTCAGCACAGTCCTTCAACACCTCAGCTACTCAGATTTCACAAAATCCCTCCAGCCCCATGCCTTTCACTTCCAGTTTCACAACTTCCCCCTGAACAGAGCTTCAGGTTCTTCCTCACCTTGTGTCTCCTAAACAGACAGAACCCACCACCACCCACCCACAACATTCCAGTCCTGTCTATGCACACTCCATGTCCATGAGCCACCCCGATCCAAAGGGTGTGGAAACAGAGAAAACACCTTTCTCCTTTCCTGACATCCTTACGGGGAACTATTTTGTCCCTTAGTCCGTTGGGCCAGGGAAGTAAAGGGACAGGAGTGTGATGCCCCCCAAATGGCTGCCATGTGTGTCAGTGGGCACAGGAATGGGCAGATCCAGCCCAAATTTGCTTAGCAGGTCAGAAATGCATTTGTACATCTTCAGCTTCTGTTGTCATCTGTTCTTCCTCTTCCTTTCCCAAAGATTGTAAGACAGTTTTTACTTTCTTACCCAATCCTATTTCCTGTGGTGGTTACTGGCAGCCCTCATTAACCTGTCCACGACTCCAGGCTATGGCATAAAATGATACCTAAATTAAAAGGCTATTTTTATCCAGAGCACTATTTAATTTCCTCATTAGTTTGAGGGTTTCAATTTTCTCTGCATTGATTGCTGGCATTCCATGTTGGGAGACATTCAAAATGCATTTGTTGTTATTGGACCATTCTGAATTTCAGTAAATGTCAGCAAAACAGAGGGATGGGCAGTGGATGAAACTATTTCTTGATGCACCTAAATCTCAAGCTGAAAATACACAGTACACTTCAGAGCAGTGATGAGTTGGAGTTCCAGTAATACACAAATATATCAAATTCTGGTATGGTTTGAGTTGGAAGGGACTTTAAAGCTCATCCAGTTCCATCCCCAGCCATGGGCAGGGACACCTTCCACTATCCCAGACTGCTCCACACTGTCCTGGAACACTGCCAGGGATGGGGCAGCCACAGCTTCTCTGCGCAACCTGTGCCAGGGCCTCAGCACCCTCACAGGGAAGAATTTATTCCCAATATCCCATCTAACCCACCTTCTGTCAGTTAAAGCCATTTCCCCTTACTGATTAGGTGACTAGATCCATTGCTTTCCAGAGGAAAGCCTGGAGTGGCAAAGGCTCACCTCAGATGACTTCCACAGATGTACAAGAGCTGACTTCCTCCCCTTGCTTAGATTCCCAATTTGTAAAATGAGGATTTCTTTTTTTTTTTTTTTTTTTTTTTTTTACTTTACTTCACTGACCTTTGCTGAAACATTGCAAGTCCTTGCAAAAGGCCTTATTCCCTGGGCTACCAGTGATGAAATTGAATGGAAAATAGAGACCTGGAGGGTCATCAAGAAGTGATCCAAGCCACCCTCTGTCTTTCTTCTACTTACTACTAGAAACCTTTCAGATTTTTTTTTTTATGAGAGCTTGTGGAATTTTTTTTGGATACACAATGATTTAAAAATCCCCACAATTTTATTATTACTCACAGTGCCATAAAGTTTAAGATGTGGATACAAGGTTTGGGAAACACACAAAGGATTAATGTCAGAGTCTGGGAATGACTTGACCACACATATCACATGCTTGCCCAATTCAATATTCAGCTAATCTATTGGCTGTTATTTCCAAGAATCATTAAATTGTTAAGGTTGGAGAAGCCCTCCAAGGTCATTGAGTCCAACCATTCCCCAGCAGTTCCCCACTACTGTGTGTCCCCAAGTGCCACATCCACAGGTTTTAAATCCCTCCAGACTGATGGTGACTGCACCACTGCTCTTGGTAAACTGTGCCAGGGCTGCACCACTCTGTGAGTGAAAAATTTTTCCTAAAATCCAATCTAAACTTCTCCTGTAAGGACGGGATTAATTTCTTCTCCTTCCCACGCCTGAGCATTCACATCTCCCTCCTCCAGCCCCAAGAGCCCTTGAGCTGGGAGATTTCCTTGGAGAAGGTGGAGTAGGTCTGTGTAAACAGGGAATTAAGCCCTGGAGGAGGGAGATTTCCTTGGAGAGGTTTGAGGAAAGTTACTTAAACAGTTTTTTTTCTCTCTACTTGCTGGGCTGTGAGTGCACCCTTCAGTGCCCCTGCTCCCTACAAGCAACTCTAACATGGGCAGGAAAAGCCAGGATACACTTAGTGGTAAAGGAAAGCAAGGAATTGAATGAGGTGGGATTAAAAAAAGGCACCTCCTAAGCAAGTGTTGGAAGCTTTTCAGAAGCTGTTCTATGTTCTTTAAAGCCTCTACCATAAAAGGAGATGTTGGGGACATAAGATCTTTCAGCTCTTACACAAAAATTAGATCTCCAAACACAGAGAAGGTAAGTTTTCCAGGATCTTTTCCCTTTCCTCTTTTCTTTCCTTTTCCTGATTTCCCTTCCTCTTTTTCCCCCCTTCCCTTCCTCTTGACAAAGGTGAAAATACAAAAAGAAATTTCCCCTGAAATCATCAACCATCTCTGGCTCTTTTTGGCTGTAACAATGTGCAGAACTGGTTTTGCAGCCCCAAATCAGGTTATTGAGTTCTTCTTCAATTAACCACCTGAGATTTTAGGGGAAAACCCTTGCAATAAGAGGATGGTGCAATTCCTTATCCCTTTTTTTAAAATTATAACAGTCCACACTGTATTTATTTCATATTCCAACTGATTGCACTATATGATGTACTTCTAGTCAGTGACTGAAAAGCTAATTTTAGAGGTAAGATCTCCCTTTTATCCCCTTTCTTGAGCATGTTTTACCTCCTGTCAGTAAAACTGCAAGCACAGGAGAAATCACAAACTTTCCCAACTTCCTCTTTAGGTTTCACTTTTTCAAGTTGGAGAGCAATTTTGGTTTTTCTACATTTCAGCATTTCCTTGATCAGCTTTTTGCCTCTACAGGAGTTTCTGATCTTCCTCTATTTTAAAATCATAAAATAGGAGCCTGGATCAGATGGATCCAATCCCAAAGGGATCCAGTGGATAGCATCCCTGCCCAAGGAAGTGAGATGGTGTCTAAGGTCCCTTCCAACCCAAACGATTCCAGGAGTCTGTGATTCTATGGCTGTGTCTCATACAAGGCAAATTAAATATGTATTTGGGAAAGAACAATAAAAACCAAAAGAAATTCAAAAAGCACTTGATAAACTTAATTCTAATCCTATGTATTTCTTAGAGAGACTGCACTTCTGATAAAGAATTAATTTTTAAGAATGAAAAAACTGATGAATCATTTTGTCTTTATCTTTCCACATTTCCAGGCTCTGCACTGCACATTGCCACTAGATTGGCATGGAAAACTCCAGCAGCATGAAGGAATTAATCTTCCTGGGCCTCTCAGAGAACCAAGGGGAGCAGAAAATGTATTTTGTGGTGTTTCTGCTTTTCTACACGCTCACAGTGGCAGGAAATCTCACAGTTCTCACTGTGACGAGCAGCTGGTGCCTGAACTCCCCCATGTACTTCTTTCTCTGCCACCTTTCCTTTGCAGATGTTTGTTACTCCTCTGTCACAGCTCTCCAAATGATTTCTGGCTTCCTGGTGGAAAATAACACCATCTCCTTTGCAGGTTGCATAGGGCAGCTCTTTGGGCTTCATTTTTTTGGCTGCATAGAGGTTTTCATCCTGACAGCCATGGCCTACAACCACTGCATGGCTGTCTGCTGGCCCCTGCACTACCCCACCGCCTCTGTGGTGGCATGGTAGGGTCTCCTGGGCAGGGGGCTTCCTGCATTCCACCCTCCAGACCCTTCCCACCACCCTGCTCCCTTTCTGTGGCCTCAACAAAGTTGCCCACTACTTTTGTGATGTCCTGCTCCCCCTGGCCCACGCCGACACGCGCACCAAGGGCCCGGTCACGGTGGCCAACAGCAGGGTCATATCCCTAAGCTGCTTCCTCATCCTGGTCATGTCCTACATGGGCATCCTGGCTTCCCTGAGGTGGCACAGGGCTGGTGAGGTGGCACAAGGCCCTGTCCACGTGCAGGTCCCACATCACTGTGGTGATCCTGTGCCTTGGGCCCAGCATGTTTGTTTACATCCGCCCGTCCAGCGGCCTGAGGACAGGAGCATGGCCACGTTCTAAATGCTCAATCACACCCATGCTCAACCCACTCATCTACACCCTCCAGGATGGGGAGGTGAAGGGAGCCATGAGGAAACTGTGCAGGAGGAAAGTGGGAAGTGGAAATGGGAAGGGGTAGGGCTGTGGTCATGTTCCCAAAGGATCGGAGAAAATCAAGCAGGTTTTGTTGTAATTTCTTCTGTGACAATGCCCTAAAACAGGCCTCTAAAAGAACAGCTGCCTGTTGGCTCCTGCTGTAATTAGGAAGGCACTAAAAGTTCTTTTTATGATGGAAAAGACATTGAGAACTCTGGCACTCCCTTCCTATTCCTTGTCAATGAGTACAGGCCTCCTGAGCAGCTGAAATATCAATGATTAAATGCAGTTAAAAATACTGAAAATATTGTCCAGGTGGAGCACCCCATAAGAAACAAACAAAAAAAACCCCTGATATTTAGAGCTAGCAGGGTGGTTTGCTGATGAAGGAACAGGAGGGGAAACTTCTCCCCTTCCTCCCCCACTTAAGCAAATCCTTTCTGCCCTGTTCCAGGTCAGGCTGGAAGGGGCCTGGAGCAACCTGGACAGGTGAAAGATGCCCTTGCCTATGGCAGAGGGTTGGAATGAAATGGTCTATAAGGTACCTTCCAATCCAAACAGCTATTCTGCAATTCCATAATTCTCCTATAATTCTATCTACTTCACCTATCTCTGCCCAAGACAGCAGTAAATAAAATAAATGTATTTTTAAATGCTTTGGAGCTGAGCAACAGTGGGGTTTTTTAGAGGTCTCCTTTCGGCTGCTGAGCAAATATTCACCCATTGCTTATGGAAGGTGTCATTGGAAACAGTGTCAGGCTCCTCTACACTTTGCAAAGAATTCTTACAAACATTTCATACTTGAGCTCAGAAGTTGCTTCTGTGCTTTACTGTGTCAGAAAAAATACCTGCTGAGAGAGGAAGGCTTACCACAAATCTTTGTGCATTTTTTGAAATGATTTCCTGAGTTACTTCTTGTTTTAAAGTTGTAAGTCAGGTGCCTAAGGGATAACATCAGTGATATTTTTGCTTTGTGCTGTCAACGTGTAGGTTAGTAAGAAATAAGCTTGTAGATGAGAAGAACAGGCTTAGGACAGAAAGCAAAATTTGTATCCATTTACATGAATTTATATAAATGTCCTAAGTAAGAGACATCTTTATCTAATGTCTCTCTCCACGGATTACACTAATAACTACCCAAAGAACAATTTTAGTTCCTTGCCCACTGCGGTTTTCTGACAAAACTTCCTTTGCCTCTGGGATCTCATTACTCCTGACAGACTTGTGCTTCTGTGGTGTGATTTACTTGAACTATTTCTGCTACAGAAATAATTGTACTTGAAGATGCTCCTGGAGGTTGGTTTTTTGCTTGGTTGGGTTTTTGCGTAATGAGAAATACAGAAGGTTGGGCTGTTCTTTTCAGGGCTTAGAGTTGGCAGAGATACAGAGCTGCTTCCATAACTTCTGAGCAGCACCCTGCAGAGAGTTTCTGATGGAACTGAGAGGTTCTGATGGAATCCCCTGAAGTGGTTTGGGGAGGTCATCAGAGCAGCGACAGCAAGTGAGCTCTGTGGAAGTGTTCTGGGATTGTTCCTTTGTTTTGCTCAGGACCCTCTGAAATCCTGCCTTTGCAAAGCAGCATTGCTGGTGAGTGACTTTTGGGAGGTCTATTTTATGACTTAGAATAAAAAAACCATTAAAAAATCAGTGGTAGATTTAGAATCCCAGAATGGTTTGGGCAGGAAAGCGCCATAAAGCTCCTCTTGTTCTGCTCTCCTGCAATGAGGGGATTGCTCTGGTTGCTCCAAGCCCTGTCCAGCTTGGTCTTGAGCACTTTCAGGAATATCACACACTAGTGATCCTGGTGTTCTGCATGGGAATGCTGTAAGGGAGGATTTGTGGGTGTTTGTCAGTAAAGCAGGGTCACCAACCTCTCGTTCACTAGCCCAGTGTCACTACAGGTTGTATTTATGGGGTGTTTCACACCACAGCCAGGACCTGGGTACTATTTCTACCACCCTCCTCAGCTAAATAACCAGAGCTTGTTATTACACATGTCAGGGACATATTCTGGCTTGGATTTCACTGTCACTCCTTCAGGGAAGCATTGGCTTTAAACTGAAATTGTCTCAAAAAGACAGCAGAAGAAATACAGTGGATATTCAACATACCAGAGGAAAATGCGTGTGTCCTGTTAATGTCCCCTGTCTAATGATTTGGCCTTTTGGATCTTTTAAGGCAGCTTTATTCAATGCTGTTAGCATCATACACATCTGGTTTCTTCCTGGTAGCCTCCTTCTTGCTGAGTTATAAACTCCTTGGCAGAATGGAGCAGCAAAGGAATTTCCTGGAGGGATTTTAAATGGACAAGTTCATTCCTCTGCTCGTCCCACTTTAACCTCCACAGGACAGTGAGTGTAGCTGTCTACTGAAAAACTGTAAAAATTCCTTTAAAAAATATAAAGGTAGAGAAACCATGCAGGGTGTTGAAGCTTCTGCTGTGTTCGAAACGCCAATTTCTCCAGTGAGGAACTTCCCAGACCTGGTTTCTGTGCATGTATTCCCAGTTTCAGAGTGAATAAGCTAACTGGAGAGCCCTTTCCTCAGTTTACAGGAGTGACATTAGGATCAGAACATGGAACAGCTCATGCCTGAGAATGGCAACATTTGCTTGTAGTCACTTCAAATTTCCAGCAGGTAGAAGGACAGCACAGCAATTTTCCAGCATACATGGCTCTTGTTATCTGAGAGCAGGATGATTCCTGAAAGGATTTAAAAGCAGTATGGCTGTAGCACTTGGATACATGGTTTAGTGGAGGTCTTGGCAGTGCTGGGGGGAGAACTGGACTCAGTGGGGGCTTTTCCAACTTTAACAATTCCATAATTCTGTGATTTCTCCCTGACAGAGAAATGGGAGCACACCAACCATGATACAGGAAAACAGTGGTCAGAGTGATTTCAGGGGAGGAGGTCAGTGTGGAGTGGCAGTCCAGAGACCTGAGTAGGGGCAGGATAGGGGGTGAGTGCAAACTGTGCTTTCTGTCATTTGTGCCATGACATGTGCTTTTTGCAGCAGCAAATGCATCCTGCTCACACCATCCATGAGCCTTGGAGCTGTAGCACATTCCCTTCCCTTCCTGGCTCCCCCCCGACCTGTGCCATGGCAGCCTGAGCTGCAGCGATGGCACAGGACAACTCCTCCCGGGTGACTGAATTCATCCTCCTGGGGCTCTCCGACACCCGGGAACTGCAAGTCCTCTTCTTCACATTCTTCCTCCTGGCCTACACCATGATCCTGCTGGGCAACCTGCTCATCATCGTGACAGTCAGGACTGACCCCAAGCTCTCCTCGCCCATGTACTTCCTGCTCTGCAATCTGTCCTTCATTGATATCTGCTACACCTCTGTCACCGCCCCCAGGGTGCTGGTGGTCCTGCTCTCAGGGCACAAGGCCATTGCCTTTGAGGGCTGCATGGCCCAGCTGTTTTTCCTGCACTTTGTGGGCTCCTCAGAGATGTTCCTCCTGACGGTGATGGCGTTCGACCGCTACACGGCCATCTGCAGGCCCCTGCACTACACGGCCATCATGGCCCGCAGGGCCTGCTGGGCGCTGGTCGCTGCCTGCTGGGCCGGGGGCTTTATCCACTCCATTGTCCAGACTGTGCTCATGCTCCAGCTGCCCTTCTGCGGCCCCAACACCATCCACAGCTACTTCTGTGACGTGCCGCCCGTCATCCGCCTGGCCTGCGCCGACACCGCCCTCACCGAGTGGCTCATGGCCTCCAACAGCGGCCTCATATCCCTGGGCTGCTTCCTGGTGCTGGTGGCCTCCTACGCCCTCATCCTGGCCAAGGTCCGGGCCCGCGTCTCCCAGGGGAACTGGAAGGCGCTGTCCACCTGTGCCTCACACGTGATGGCCATCACCCTGTTCTTCATGCCCTGCATCTTCACCTACCTGCGGCCCGCTGGGACCTTGCCCCCCAGCAAGTATGTCTGTGTCATCTACACCATCTTGTCACCCATGATGAACCCCCTCATCTACACCCTGAGGAGCAGCGAGGTGAAGGAATCCATGTGGAGACTCTGGAAGAGCTGCAGAACTTTCTGAGCCAGGCTGGGTTGGCAGAACCCTGGAGTTACACCCAGAGTTACACCTGGAGTCACGTTCCTGCTCTACTCCTGCACAATAATGACTCAGTGGATAAAGCCCACAGACTTCAAATTATGTACAAATACATTTCTATGCACCTATTACTGTTAATATTAAAAATCCATGCTGAAAACCCCAAACTTCCTAATCACTTCCACTCGTGTGGGATCAAAATTTTCAAATAAATGAATGAATCCAGGGTGAGGCTTGTCTCCCTGTCTGACATGCTCTTCCTGTGCTGTGACAGCAGATGGCAGAGGCACATGCACTAAGTGTCCCCAGATTCACCCACCAACACTGGAAGACAGAGACGGCACAGATTTTGCTGTGTAGGGTTTCCTTTAGACACATAAGAATATTTTAGTCATAATTGTCTCACAGAAGTGATTTATTTAAATCATACAAAGCCCAATGTATAGAGGAAGGAGGAGGAGTGGAGATGGACTCCACAGGCAAAGAGTGTCCTGCATGGAGGCAGGACAAGAGGGAATGGCTTGACACTAGCAGAGGGTGGGTTTAGATGGGATATTGGGAAGAAATTCTTCTCTGCGGTGGTCTGGCATGGGTTTCCCATGGCTGTCCTTTTCCTATAAGTTTTCCAGGCCAGCTTGGATGGGGCTTGGAGCAATGTGGGATATCAGGGATAGTGGAAAGTGTCTGTGCCCATGGCAGAGGGTTGGAATGAAATGGTATTTAAAGTCCCGTCTGCCCCAAACAGCTGTTCTGCAATTCCATTAATTCTCCTATAATTCTATCTACTTCACCTATCTCTGCCCAAGACAGCAGTAAATAAAATAAATGTATTTTTAAATGCTTTGGAGCTGAGCAACAGTGGGGTTTTTTAGAGGTCTCCTTTCGGCTGCTGAGCAAATATTCACCCATTGCTTATGGAAGGTGTCATTGGAAACAGTGTCAGGCTCCTCTACACTTTGCAAAGAATTCTTACAAACATT